ACATATATGCGGCCATGAGGGCCGCGTTTTGCACGAGCACGAGAGCCCATTCATTTGAATGGACTCCCGTGCCCGTGACACGCAGGGAAAAAGTCCCTGCACTTCTTTGGAAAATGCAGCCCACACGGAAACCTTGGTTCCCAGTACGGTTGCGGTTTCTAGTGCGGGCGACGCACCATTAGAACTAATGACACCCGCCCGCGGGTCCGCATTGTTCTGTGTGGGTGGTGCGGCTGCACCGATTTACGTGCCAATCCGCAGCAGCACCACCTGCACAGATGTGAGCCTAGAGTCAACCTTAAGCCACTAGAACCACTTTATATCCCCAAAAAAAACAACACTCTCTATGTAAGCGATATGCATTGATAGGTTTTTATCAACATTTTCAGCTGTTGCACACAATCCTCTCTTCTGCAACTGATTTGTGAATGTCTGTCTTCATTGTAGCCACCTTATGCAATATCACTGTTGTAATGAGATAACCTGCAGTATCTGCATCAATTCAGGCAAACATTAGAGAGTTTCTCTGCAATACTTAGCCTGAGTTCACACTGATGCGGTACGGATTTCGCAGCGTTTTCTGCGGGTGTGTATGTTAACCTCTTGGCGCCGGCCGCACACAAATGTGCAGCCTCTTGGCCTCTGGGTTTGATGCCGAGCGGCCACACATTTGCGTGCAATTAAGAAAAACATACGTGCTCAGAGTGCGCGCCCTGTGTGCTCCCAGCACACATGTCTGGTACTCACGGAAAGGTCCCGATCTCCTCTTTCGATCAGGACCTTTCCTGATCATGTGTGATTCGCTATCACGGCGGTCACATGTCCCTAAAACCCGCCCCACCTCCCAGCTTCTGAAACTCTTAAAGGGCCGGGAGGCGCTGGCGCCAAGGGGTTAAGTTAACAACACCCCAAAATCAGTCCGCAAAACCCGGTGCGATGTGCAGAATCGGATTGCATAGGTGTGAATACCCATGCGATCCGATTCTAGTGCAGACCCAAAAAAAGGGTCCTGCAAGTTTTTGGTGCGGTGAGGTTTGAACCATACAAAATGTATGGCTCCAATCGCACAGCACACAAATCGCATGTGATTTACACAGGAATGCGGTGCGGTTCCTGTGCGAATCACATGCAATATACCGCACCACATTAGTGTAAACCTAGCCTGAAACTCCTATCACAAGAGATACCTGAGATTTACCTTTATCTCATTGAAGACTTCAGAGAGAAAATCAGGAAGCCATTCATATAAGCAAAAACTGAGAATCGGGGAAGCAAGGGCACAGCATTGGAATTTAATAAAAGTTTAGAAAAATTACAAGGGCCAAACTAAAGCAAAAGTGTAGCTTATCTTGAAGGCAACGACCTAAAAGTTGTTACTTAATTAGTGATTGCAGCATTTTTTTGCTGTCTACAGCATTCATGCTTTTCAGGTGTACCCCGCAAACCCACAGCAGTAGAAACTTCATCCTTTACACACATATTTAGACTGAACTCAACTATGTTCCCAGCTGTATTAAAAAGAGAGACAGGAAATATACTTTACATTGCACTCCAGATTTTATTCTGTAATATTAATAGTAGACGCTTAAAATTTTTATGATGGGCCTTGTTTTAAAGGTCTGAACTGGTTCATAAATGGTTAAACATGCCCTATGCTGTTTTTCATGAAACAGTAAGTTTTGTGTTTTCATCTGTTCCCATTTAACATATTAGCAAGAGATAACCACAAGTCCAGACCTTAGCTGACCTCTTTAGTGAAATGATTTTAGCTGCTAGCTGTACATGAAACCCAAGTGAGATTCATGTATGTCTATGTCAGGGACAATGGTTTATTTAATAGGGGATTGGCTTATAGAAGAATTCATTTAAACACTGTTTATATTTGAGACGCTCAATGCAGTTTAAAGCAAAACTTCACTTAAAAGTGAAAGTTCTGCTAATCCCCCTCTGCACACCTCCCCACATACCATTCTTGGAAGATTCCCAAATCCTCTATTTTCACCTAGGTGAGGATAGCAGAAGTTCAACACCCCCCTCTAGGGTTGCCACCTCATCCCTTTAAACCCGAACACATATTAATTACACAGGTTCTGTGGCTGATGAAGATTTTAATTAAACTCACCAAGGCTGGCCATACACTATACAATTTTCTGTCCAATTTCTGCCCAATTTCCTTTAGATTTACCTTCAACTGTGTACTGCGAGGGCCTGCCTAATTGGATACAACTGAAAGTGTTGTTTAGGTTTGACCTCATGTTATATGGTTTTTGGTAAATCTAAAGCAAATTTCTCAAGAACTCTCTACTCTCTAAAGCATGCGCACACCACTCCCATACTTAAAAAGCCTTCCCTGGATCCCACCAACCTGAACAACTTAAGACCCATCTCCCTGCTGCCATTTACCTCTAAACTCCTAGAATGCTTAGTCTACAATCACCTGAGCTCCTACCTCACCAACAACAACCTTCTTGACCCTTTACAGTCTGGCTTTCGCTCTCTACACACTGAAACTGCCGTACTAAAACTCACTAATGATCTACTAACTGCTAAAACCAATGGCCACTACTCCGTACTCTTACTACTTGACCTCTCTGCGACTTTACTGTTGACCACCCCCCCCTCCTCAAAAAACTCCACTGTCTTGGCCTCAGAGAGTCTGCTCTCTCCTGGTTCTCCTCCTACCTATCGCAGCGCTCCTTCAGTGTTGCCTATAACGCTGCCTCCTCCTCTTCACTCCCTCTTTCTGTAGGGGTCCCTCAAGGTTCTGTCCTTGGACCCCTTCTCTTCTCCATCTACACCTCCTCCCTTGGTCACTTGATAAACTCCCATGGCTTTAAGTACCATCTCTATGCTGATGACACACAAAATCTATCTTTCTACCGCTCACCTCACCCCTTCAGTCTTCTCTTGCATCACTAACCTACTAAGTGACATATCGGCATGGATGTCACTCCACTTCCTCAAAATCAATCTTTCCAAAACTGAGCTCTTAGTATTCCCCCAGCCCGTGCCCCCTCTCCTGACTTCTCTTCTTCTAAGATCAATAACACAACCATCAGTCCCTCCCCTCATGCCAGGGTACTAGGTGTAATCCTAGACTCCCATCTGTCCTTTCAGGCCCAAATCCAATCACTGTCTAAATCTTGTAGACTTCACCTCCGCAACATCTCCAAGATACGCCCGTTCCTAACCTCGGAAACCACTAAGCAACTTATTCACTCCCTTGTTATATCTCACCTTGACTATTGTAACTCCCTCCTCATTGGCCTACCTCATTGCAGGCTATCCCCTCTTCAGTCTATCATGAATGCTGCTGCCACATTATCCACCTTACTAACCATTCAGTATCTGCCACCCCTCTCTGCCAATCCCTCCACTGGCTTCCCATTGCCCAATGGATAAAATTCAAAACATTAACAATAACGTATAAAGCCATTTATAACTCGGCCCCAAATTACATCACCGATCTTGTCTCTAAATATCACCCAAACCATACTCTCCGCTCCTCACAAGACCTCCTACTCTCTAGCTCCCTTGTCTCCTCCTCTTATGCTCATCTCCAGGACTTTTCCAGAGCTTCCCCCATACTCTGGAACTCTCTACCCCAATTTATCAGACTATCGCCTACTCTGCTCACTTTTAGGAGATCTCTGAAAACCTATCTCTTCAGGGAAGCCTATCCTGCCCTCAGCTAATAATGAAATCTTCTACTCTTCCAACCAGTCCATCCCCCACAGTTACTACCTTTTGTACCACTAGCCCCTCCCTCCTAGATTGTAAGCTCCAAGGAGCAGGGCCCTCCTATCCCTCTTGTATTGAACTGTATTGTTGCTGTATTGTCTCCCATTATATTGTAAAGCGCTGAGCAAACTGTTGGCGCTATATAAATCCTGTATAATAATAATAATGTATGGCCAGCCTTAGTGCCTTATCTGCATTAAATTAGCCTCAGAACCTGTGTAATGAATGTGTTCAGTTTTAAAGGGATGAGGTGGCAACCCTACCCCCCCTCCCTGGCTGTAAACTCCTGGAACACATCCCAGGTCCCAGGAGGCTGCAGGAACAGTCAGAAAACCCAGCGTGTCTTACGCATGCTAAATGCAGAACTGGCTGTGAAACAGCAGGACATCAAAAGTGAAGGGATGGACGCCACTCACCCGACACCAGGAGTCCAATGTTGAGCCTCTGTGACCAAACCCCAGTGGGCGGGGTGAAACATGTCAGAGGGCTTGCCATGTATGGCTGCTGAGGCCATTCCTCAACAATGGACTCCTGGGGTCAGTTGAGCAGCGTCCATACCTTCATTTGTATTGCCTGACACTAGAATCACTCGGACTCATGCTCCCTGCTTCTCACTTGCCAGTGGGGTGATCCTTTTCCTTCCATCCATAGCTTGGAGAGGTGCCGGAGGTCAGAAAAAAGTTAAAAAGACGCTGTCATTATAGGTCAGTGCTGGTTTTTAAATGTAGTTACTGGCTTTTTTTTTCCTTCACTATAGCTCAGAGAATCAGCTGTCACTTTCCCCCCAGCTAAAAGAAAGAAAGTTTCCTTTTAGTTTGTTTTCTGGAGTTAAAAGAAACAAAGTATCCTTTAGCTCCAGGGAAAGTGACAGCTAATTCTGTGAGTTATAGTGAGGAAAAAAAAAAGCCAGAAATTGCATTTAAAAATCGGCACCGACATACACTTCGTATTGCGAAAAAAATTTGTAAAAAATTCGTAAACCGAGACATTATTTTCCATGGAAAGTTTTATTATAAGCTTACCTGTAGGTAAAATAAAAAAAAAAAAGAATGGATTTACTACCACTTTAAAAGCCAGCAGATACAGTATTTGTAGCTGCTAACTTTTAATTTTTATAATATGACTGTAGTTTCTCTTTAACCACCTTCCGCCCGCCCTATAGTACAATGACGGGCGCAAGGTGGTTCTCCCGTTCTGATAGGACGTCATATGACGTCCTACCATTCTCACTGCGCATGCGCGGCTCAGGGAGCGCGCAGCGCTGTGTCCCTTGGACACAGCGGATCACGGAAAGAGCCGAAGATGTCGTCTCGGTTATGTGATCAGCTGTGCCCAATCACAGCTGATCACATGTAAACACGGAAATGCCGGTTATCGGCATTTCTCTCCTCTTGAGCTGTCACGCTGACAGCTCGAGAGGAGAGGAGAGCCAGTAATCGGCTTTCCGCGGAGGGGACATGTACACTGATCATCAGGGTAGTGATGATCAGTGTGCCCTGATGATCAGTGTGGCCCCAGAAGTGCCACCTGTCAGTGCTCATCAATGCCACGTGCCAGTGCCACATCAATGCCACATATCAGTGCATACCAGTGCACATCAATGCCACATATCAGTGCCCATCTGAGCTGCCTTTCAATGTCACCCATCAGTGCCAATCAGTGCCACCTATCAGTGCTGCCAATCAGTGCCACCTATCAGTGCCAGTCAGTGTTGCCTATCAGTGCCGCCTATCAGTGCCAGTCAGTGCCGCCTATCAGTGCCAGTCAGTGCCACCTAACAGTGCCAGTCAGTGCCGCCTAACAGTGCCAGTCAGTGCCGCCTATCAGTGCCAGTCAGTGCCGCCTATCAGTGCCATATATCAGTGTCATGTATCAGTGCTGCCTTTCAGTGCCCATCAGTGATGCCTGTCAATGCCCATCAGTGCAACCTACCAGTGCCTCCTCATCAGTGCCCATCAGTGCCACCTATCAGTGTCCATCAGTGCAGCCTATTAGTGCCCATCACTGCAGCCTCATTAGGGCACATCAGTGAAGGAGAAAAATCACTTATTTACAAAATTGTATAACAAAAACTAAGAAAAAACGTATTTTTTTTCAAAATTTTCAGTGGTTTTTGGTTTGTTTAAGAAAAAATAAAAATCCCAGAGGTGATTAAATACCACCAAAAGAAAGCTCTATCTGTCTCAAAAAAAGATAAAAATTTCATATGGGTACAGTGTTGCATGACCGCGCAATTGTCATTCAAAGTGTGACAGCGCTGAAAGCTGGAAATTGGCCTGGGCAGGAAGGGGGTAGAAGTGCCCGGTAGGCTAGTGGTTAAAGAGATACTGTAACTTTGCACATTCAGTGTCTCTTGATAGCCCCGAACCCAGTAAAAGATCTTTAATGATGCATGCTTCTTTGCCATTTACCACTGCAAGAATCCGCCCTGGGTAAGTTCCAGTTTTCCAACTTACCCGTGTGCAAGACAACACTGCCTCCCCCCTGTGTGTCAGGGGATTGGCTGCCCCAGACCTGAGCATAGTCACATGGGGGAGGTCATATGCTCCCTCATTCCAACAGAGCGGGGGTTCTCACAGAGTTGGGCAGCGTGGATAGGCGAACATAATTTGCCGAGTGGGCTTTAAGAATAGCAGCCCTTTTTTTAAAAAACTATTTGTAATGGGGTTCCATGCTTTATCTGTTCACTGCAGTAATCTTACTGGTTCGAACGTATAACAATAATAATAATAATCCTAAAAACATGGTTTAGCCAGCAGGAGTAGACCTGTTGTAAAATTACATTTCAATCTCTAATTCAGGCAAATGGCTTAATAATAACAGATAAAATACATATTTGGCCCCTTTCACACAAGCAGACCGATGGAGTCTGCCTGTCTGTTTTTAAGGGGGACCCAATCAATCCATCCATAGACTTCTATCTGATTTGATCCTGTACACCAAAAACAGATGGATGGGGACAGGGGCGGACTGACCATTTGGAAACTCGGGCACTGCCGAGGGCCCGGGGTCAGTAGGGGGCCCCATGAGATGCCCCTGGTACCTTTTTCATAGGCTTTTTTGAGTTTGGGCAAGGACACAGGGGTCCCATGATCCCCTATTGCCCGGGGGCCCCACGAGTTGTCAGTCTGCCCCTGGATGGGGATCTGTTCCCCATCAGTCCAGCGGAACGGATCAGATGACAATTGGGTGAAAACAAGACAGGCGCCCTGTTGACATATGTACCTGGGTAATATGTGCTATTGTTTGTTTAGTGTTAGTGTTACCACTATAGAATATTCTTCTTAACCCCTCCCCCTCCCTTTTTTTTCTTTCCCTCTTTTCTTTTCGTTTCCTTCTCTCCTTTTGTTTGGAATATGGGAGTCATTGACTGCCATTGATATTCAGACTAAGTACAACTCTTGGTCAGGATGTTTGTTTGCTTTTATTGTTACACATTTCTTTTTTGCTGTTCTTTTGACCGATCAACACTTGCTTGTTGACATTATTGTCTATTCTGTATCACCAGAAAATGTTAATAAAAATTGATTATAAAAAAAACCCAAAAAAACAAGACAGGTGGTCCGTTTCCACCCGAATGTCCCATTGAAATCAGTGGGCAGTGTCTGTGTCCGCTGTGCAGCAGCAGAGTGGACAGAGACCTGTCATCCACCTGATCCCACTGATCCACTGATCCCCGCTGAGCAGGTGGATCATGCTGAGGGATCCTCCCTGTGTGAAAGGGGCCTAACACCCTGGTCACATCAAAGCTGATTTTGAAATCGTGTGACTTACAGTGAAGTCGCACGATTTCAAAATTGGGTGACCTACTGATTTCCTTGTGATTTGCATGACATCTGACCAGGGACGGACTGACAACTCATGGGGCTCCTGGGCAATAGGGGATCATGGGGCCCCTGTGTCTTTGCCCAAACTCAAAAAAGCCTATGAAAAAGGTAACGGGCATCTCATGGGGCCCCCTACTGACCCCGGGCCCTCCGACAGTGCCCGAGTTTCCAAATGGTCAGTTCCGCCCCTGCATCTGACACAGATGTGTATACAAATCGGAACCAAATTAGTGCATTTACTACTTTATAATTCGGTGCAGCTCTGACCAAGTCGGAACTGCACCGAATATGACAGCTCTAATAGCGGACAATAGGATGTGACTTGGCATACGATTTGCAAGTCACCTGGCATGCAATTCACATGCCAAGTCCAACCCAATGTGACCAGGGTGTTTGGTGTGTAGTTTTGCATGTCAAAGGGTTTAGTATTTCTACCAATTTAATCCCAAGGTTTACTCTGTTCCATAACACAGCACAATTGGGTGGATGACACCCTTTTCTCTATTAGGCCAGCCATAAATGAATTCAAATTCAGCTGGATCAGCAGGGACCAGAACAGCCAGACATTCACCGCTCTCTGCTCAGAGTGCCTGTGAAAACTCAGCGGTTATGTGATCTCTGAGTTCTCACCCTTAGAGCCGGTGGGTCCGATGCTGCATCCACCTAGGTAAGTAAATGGGGAAAAAAAAGCCCTATTTCTCTTTTAAAGCAGAACTTCACGCTCTTAATCAACATTGACTATTTTAATGCTTATGCTGCTTAGCATTAGTAAATAGATAGAAAAGTAAGTATATCATATTTACTTGCTTTGAACTTTTTTTACATTTCTTCAGTTACATTCTGGTTTCCAGGCCTAGGAAATGATGTCATACATCCCAGGAGTCTTTAGGAGGGGAGGAGGGGTTTTCTCAACTAAGCACACCTTCCCATCTGTATGCCTGGGCTAAGGACAGATGGATTCCAGGAAGTAAATGCTACATGAATCATCTGCCCCTACTCAAGATGGGCACAGAAATGCTAGGGGATGTTTTTCAAAGTGTTTTCTCATCAAAATAAAGTATGGAGATATGGATGGAGGGGTTTGTTTGTTATAAATATTAAAAATTAATTAAATAGTATTTTGTGGTTTTGGTGCTCAGATGCAGTGTAGTTCCACTTTAACTTTCTTTCACTTCCCTGCTGCTCTGTTCAGCTGCTAGGAGCAAAAGGAACATACTTTATAGTTTACAGAGCCTACAGCTGGAGTGAGTCACATGGTCCTTCATACCTGGAAGTACTGTTGGGCTTTCAGCAATAAACAGAAGTAAATGCTGAGGAGGGATAGGTTGATAAAGCAAGCCAGTTGATTTGCTCTAAAGCTGGCCATATACGTATAGATTTTCATTCAATAATGTTAATTTCAAGAATATTCGTTTGATTTTCTAATCATTAGTGGGGTCAAATTGATGTTTGTTTTTGACCGCAATGACGGGAAAATTCGAAAGGAAAACTTTTCTCGCTCGAATGAATTTTCAGCCAGTATATGTGATTATTCAGAAATTACATTCATTTTAAACTCGAATGTTAAAAGCAAAAGACAATTTTCAAATGACATTCATTCGTTCATCGAATGTTCAAAGAAATTTTGTATGACTTTTCATACGAATATTCTCGTCCGAAAATCTACATGTGTATGGCCAGCTTAGGTTTGCAAAGCACAGGTTGGCTTTAAAGAGACGCTGTCACCAATTTTTACATTTGCACATAAAAGCACATAAAATTCAAATATATTAAATGTTTGCTAGCAGCGTTTTTACTTTCTGTAACTTATTTTTTTAGTTACTAGCAATGTGGTTTTGAACTTTCTAGAACATTTTACTAGACAATTCCTAGCATAGCCCCCTTCCTCCTTGTGAGTTATACTGTAGCTTTTTCCTCCTCTGGGAGTGCCTAATTACTGAAAATTTTGCATAAACCCTCTGCATATTGCTACAAACCTTAGGACCCATTTAAACTAGCGGTTGGGGGCAGTAAAACTACATGTTTGAGCCACACTTTTACTGTCCCTAAGTTGCTCCCTGTTTAGCTGGAGAGGCAGCAGCCAGGAGTGTACATAGGCTGTGGCCACAATGCTTTGCTTTCAATAGGGCTGTGGTGCAACTGCACACAATGCACGTAGTTGCTGCATGGTAGTACAACATTTAGGGGGTGATACAATGCCTATTCATTGTCTGTTAAATGCTCTCTGAAGAGTGATGTGAACTCAGGAGGCTTTTACGAATAAATAGCATATATAAAATATGTTAGATGCAGATACAGTATAAGGCACGGGATCTCTTTAAAGGCTGGTTGAATAGTGCACACTAAATGGATTGACACACGTAAGGGGGATTTATTGAACAAGTTACAAAGAGTAACCGATTCCCTTATAATCATGATGGCCTTTCATTCAAGAAAGGATTTCTAGTACATTTACATGTGTAATTGTGACCCCTATACCCTCAAACCTGAGAAATCGAATGTCACTCTATGCAAACATGCCAGAGTGTTACTAAACCCAGGACCCTGTATTCACTATATCTGGTCTCCCACAGTACACACAACGTAGAAATGCAATTTTTTTTAGTAAATATAAACTGCTAAATACCTTTTCTCATCAGCAGTTAGAGCAGTCTTGTGACTTCTATCAGTGTTCAGCAGAGCACTGGTTAAAGCTTGTAGGAGGAGTTTTCATTCTGCTCTAGGAAGATGCAGGACCCCCGCCCTCTGTCTGACAGTGCTGATTGGCTCTGTGTTGATCACATGCATTCTCCCAAGAAAAAAAAAACCTCTATAGCAATACACATAAAAACTGAGCATGTGCAGAGTGACTCCACATGATATGTCTTATCAAGAGATAAGAGGGGGACAATGGAAGAAGGGGTGGATGAGAGAAGACAGGATCAAACAGTGTTTTTACACAATGCAGAGGATTAACCCCTTAGGTTCCACAGTGAGTATAA